GAATTTTTATTTTTAAAATACCGACCGATCACCAAAACCGCCCGAAACCAGAACCGACAAGGGGCAGGTTCAGTGTTCGTAAAATCGAACTGGAACGGTTAACCAGACATGGGACCAAAAGCGATTTAACCGGCCTAACTGGTAAACCGGCCGATTCAACCGTTCTAAACGGGCAAGTCCCGGGCGGCCAAAATTTGCTGAAAATTAAAAAAGATGCAAAAAACAAAATCTATTAAAATATGAAAAGCATATAAAGAATGATTAAAAACAAAACACATTCAAATGAAGTTGAAAATTAATAAAAAAATGGATTTTAAAAGTGAGTATTAATGACCAAAACAATTTTTAATATTTACTATAATGTAAAAAATATTAAAAAATGTATTACAAATCAAATTCCTTAATTTTCGAATTTTATAGACATTTTTTTGAATTTTTTTTTTTAAAATACCGACCAATCACCAAAACCGCCCAAAACCGGAACTGGCAAGGGACCAGTTCCGATCTAAACGAGCGGTTACTGCTTACATCGAGCGGTTTTTCAAACAATGGGTTGGTTTCGATCTAACCGAGCAGTTACAGATTAGATCGCCCGGTTTTTCTAACAATGGATTCCATATAAGTATGAAACTCAATTCCAACATGAAGGGACATCGATTCTCACAAATAGGAAACATGATTCCTATTTTATTGGATCGCGATTCCAATATAGTGCGAATTCGTAATTCCGAATTGTACGGACAACGATTCCAATTTTAGGAAAAATTTGATACATGCGATTCCGATTCCTGAGATGATTCTGAATCACAGGTGTTTCAAACAACTATATTCTTTCTATCATTCATGAGAACAACAATCTTCCACAACCATCACAGTTTCGAAAACTGTTGAATTAATTGTGAAGTGAAATCTTTGTCAAGTCAATTTTAGCATATTTAAGAGTGGCCACTAATAATTTCAACTACATAAAGAATTGTTCACTCCATAATTCTTGGGGACATTGTTCTTTTTAAAATATTTGGTAGAAGGAACTTATGATATATCAAGGAAAAAAAAGACTATTTATCTACTTCTAAATGGCATAAAATAAGTTTCTTCGAACAATTCAAAACACTATTGGAAAGAGTAACCAATTTTGGAAGGTTTTAATGCTAAGATATACATGCGCATACGTTACTCCATCCATGCAACCCATCAGTTAAAAACCCAACTTAAGATTTATATATAAAATAAAACCATAATATGATAACATACAACCTTATAGTTTCATTGAATGATGTAAAGGCCCCAAAACTAGTGGAAGGAAATGACCCAAACCACTCCCCCACAATTTTGCACCCACTTAAACCCTCGGACACATGGTAGCCCATGGACTCCCTCTAACTTCAAGAAACCGGACAAGGAGCCCCTTCCCAACAATTTTCCCCCCTACTCACATGTAATACCCCTTCACCTCTTTTTAATTAACACCAATGAAGTCTACAGCAAAGATAAAGGGGCTCTGAATTTAAATCCTCGTGTGAAACTGCCCAAACCCCCCCCCCCCCCCCTATCTCTCCCCCCAAAATCTCTAAAACTCCATGAACCTCATTGCTACTATTGTTTTGTCTTTCGAGCTTTCCCACTCTAGGATTTAAGGATGTACTGCCAGAGGAATTGAACAAAGCCTCACAATTAGAGGTGAGTCAATTGTTTGTCAATCAAGAAATGATCCCTTATGCGCTTGATACTTGGGTTTTTCATGGTTTTTATATCTATGCCTCACTCTCTGTTCATGGCATAGCGAGGGTAGTTAGGGAAAATTTCTGATGTTACTCTCTAAACTTTCATGAGAAAATAAATACCTAAAGCCACTTTCAATATGCATAGATAGTTTGATACACACTCATGAATACCTCTAATCACAATAATCAGCATTTTTTGAGAGAAATTTTACAATAATCCACTAAAATATAAGCTTTTAGCCTCCATTAATTCTTTGCATACTCTGATCTGTTAAATTAATTTTCAGTGTCAGTATTTCATTTTTGAAAAAACTTTTATTTTTTTGGATGGTATATTTGGATTTCAATCTCAGAAATTGCTTCTTAGTGAGAAGCAAAGTTTAAAAACACAAATCGATGACCCAAATCGCCTATCCAAAAAAAACTAATTCGAATCGGCGGTTGGGATTTAGTGATCCAACTAAGTTAACCAGCCAATTAAAAATTAAAAAATAGGAGAACAAAAAAAGACACAAAAAATATTAAAAAATAAAGTGGGATAGGTTCTCTAATAGAACCAGACGATATTTTGGTAGAACCGGACCGGCACCGACGATTCCCAAATTGAACCAGCTGATTCCAGTCCAATTCGCCAATTTTTTAAACCTTGACGAGAAGAATCGGTTTTAAAAGTTGCATCCATATGCCATACTCTTTATCTTTTGAAGCATTAAATTTATTTTGTCTAAATTCAAAAGAGAGAGAAGAGAGAGCACATATTTATGAAAGGTTAGAGAGAGAACCGCATGATGGGCTAAGGAGAGAGTATAGTTGTTGGAGAAGAGAGCGGGATTAGTTAGGGATTCACCGAAACGCCCTATAGTGGAAGCTCCTTGGGGTTAGGATCGGCGAAAGTACAATGAACAAGACAAGGAGCGATATCCCTAGACTTATGGGAGTGAGATCCGATGTCAATGAGTTCGATGTTTTGACTAGTAGGAATCTATGCTCCACCATACAAAAAAATGAGGTTGTAAATAGAGCTAGTATGAGTTCCCTTGGTTAAGGAATCGTGGTTTAAGTATGTCATATAGGGGGGTACCTCCTCCTCTAATATCGAGAATTTTAAAGTATAGGAATCAAGGTCCTCAGCTGATTGGCCCCGAGATCTGCAAGTGCCATTTACCAGGGATCCCTTATCAGTGCCCCCCGCATTCAACAATGGATTTATTTATTTTTGCGTGAATAACAAAGGATTAATTATATGGCTCTATAAGTTAATGTCTTATGACCACTACATTTTCAGGCCATGACACAAGTTTGGCATGCATCAGTCCCTCTGTGTCCCCAGCAACCCAGAATCCTACAACTCAAGAGTCATCTTCTTTGAATGTAGTCTCCTCTACTTCCATTGTTTCTCAAAGGCTAGCTCTTTAAAAAGCAAGAGGACAAGATGAACTACTCTCTCTCTCTCTCTCT